CTCATTTTTCATGTCTCCTGCTTCAAAATAATAACCTAATGACTCGACAGTGGCGCCCGAACTAAAAAGGTGGTGGATGATGATTCTTCATTATCACGATTTGGCGATTGGGTGCTCTAATCCTCAGTCGCCTTTTGAAAGGGGGAGTATATAAGGTATTTTCTACCTCTTTCTGCATGTCTTCGGGGTGTAATGGTTAGCACACTCGGCGCATATTCGAGAGGTTCAGTTCGAGTCCCGGGGGGCGGCATTGCTCATTTTTCACGTCGCCCGCATCAGAAAAAACCTGATGACTTTTTAAAAAAAGGCAGGTAGTTAAAGTACAATCTCATGAATGGAAACATTAGTGAAGGCCTATCTAAAGGAAACTGGTTCACATTTGTGTTACATATGCGAGAACCTACAAAAATCTCATCCACTTATAGGTCGTTTTTAGAAAATCCAATATGGAACAATTCATATCCATTTAACCTTTAGGCTAATGATAAGCTTAGCTACAAAAGGGAACAAGTGAGACATAATTAGTTCATTTATTTATTTATTTATTTTTAATCATTTAACTTTCTCATTTTCCTGGAATTTTTATTGATGTGTCTACTAATTGTAGCACAGTCACTGACTGAATACCTGATAAAAAAAGAACGTAAAAAATGAGAAAAGAGTAAGTAGGGATAATCTTAAATAAAAGTATCTTAAGTAATAAATCTTAACCAAAGAGTTTGTACGTAAAATCTTAGACAAAAACAAGCATAAAGAGCATTTTTTATTTATTTCGTATTTAAATTATGTTCAATGCTGTGACATTTATTCCCAGGCTATTTTCTATATATTTGGAATAAAATGCAATAGGAAACTTAAGCACAAAGTGTTAGAGTTGCTTATCCCCAAGTCCAAGCATGCCCCAATCGGGCACAGTAATAGTAAAGGATAGGGTTAGGGATTTAACCTATGGATGGAGAAGATCCTTGGTCCCCATAATAACAGAATCCTTGATCACCTATGGTAATAATAAGGAGGATAGTCATATTAAAGGTTTCACCACAAACGCCCAAGGACATAGGTCCATCCTTATTTTTACTGAAATCATCTTGGATCTCGAATCGGAAAATCTTCGTGATGTCCTATCTACCATGAATTTTTGAAAAATATTCCCAAACCGATGAATTCTCAGTGTTCTTTTCCACAAAGACGTCAGAAAATCACAGTATCTGTGCCTTATTTGTGATATAAATCCAATCCTATCAATATGGCACCTAGTTTTGGCTAACCTCTTACTAACTGGTTGGCTGTTATATGTATGCGCAGTGGCTAATCGCACCGACGGTGCGAATAGCTAAAAGGCTATTCACACAACCTACGTTAGCGCATGCGCACAATCAATCCAGGCACCAGCATTTTACGCCGATTTCCGCGAGGCAGGCGAAAGTGAGAGCCAAGATTGTTAACCCTAACTCAGAAAGGGTTGTTAATAGTTCACCAGCAAGAGAATAATTTGCAAATAATAATTATCAGTTACAAAGACGATGTCAATCTATATACATGATAATGTTCAGGAAATGATTAGATAAAATAGGGATTTAATGATGGTTCTAATTGCAAGCGAAGACGTGTAATTAGTTAAGAAATCTTTAATGTACTGACAAAAAGGCTATAGAAATTACTTAAATTCTTTTATTTAATAGAGGAAATTTTATGCAAACTTAGACCCTATTCTTATAGCATAAGACTGCCAGAATTTATTATTCAATACGAAAACTTACTAAAAATTATAATATTCTTATATATTCATAATTTTTTCAGTATTCACTCATGTTTCAAATGCCACATTTCAAAATCAAAGTTATTTATGAAATAAAACCTTATACAATCTGATAAATCATTTGTGTGTGCAAATTTTTAAATCTAAATCTCTCACATTAATTTTTTTTCTGTCTTTTAAATTACATCCCATTATTTATTTCAATTTAATTTATTAATGTGCTTGTACTAATATTTCAAAGTTCTTTGAAGTACTTTATGTGTCATGAAAATGCAAAGTATTTCCATAAAAAAAATAAACAGTCATACAGAATTGTTAATAACCAGTATTATATGATTAATTAGTCATTTAATAGTTGATTTAATCGCTTTTAACTTATTTCATGTCTAAATATTCTACACGGAAAACTTCTGTCTAATTTTTATTATCTTTCCTCGGACGAAGATTTTCAAAGAGTCTTGATTTCAAAGAGTCTTGAGAGAATTAGTCTTGATTGCGTAAAACACATCTTTGAAGCTAACTGTATTCTAAGAAGTGCAAAAAATGTAAACAAGGTTTTGTCCCCCCCCCAAAAAAAATCAGTCATTGATACTATTTCAACCGTTCAGGAAAACGATAAACATTGCGAACATAAAAATCTACCTTTTTTTATATATACTTTAATAAAAGGAAATGTGTTCCTTCTTTTTATAAGAAAAGCAACCCATTTTCCTTTCTAAACTTCTGAAAGTCGCCAACGCTTAAAGAATGAAAAACTACGCCAAAGTAGTAACCCGCCTTTTAAAGAAAAGACTCACTACAACACTTAGGCAGTTCGCGTACGTAGAATCCGTTATGGATCTAACAGTTCAATGCGCATGCGTGGTTAATGGTGGTGCGAATAGCTTGAGCGGCTAATTGCACCGCTGGTGCGAATAACATCGGCCATATGTATGACAGTAGGGGCTTGTTAATGTGATCATGTTTGTTTCGATAGCATTAGACAGATCATAACATTAAGCGATGAGAAAAATATTTTTCGAAGTAACAAAGAAATTTAGCTAATTTAATATCAATACAACTCAGAACATAAAAATACTTACTTTCACAGCATTTTAATTAAGGAAAAAGCCATTAGAAGATGATTATCTGGATTTCTTATTGAAAAGTTCATTTTTCAACTGTTCATAATGCTTCTGGAGATTAATTGGCCGGTTCTATACTCCTAATCTTAATATTCATACGCCAGCCCTCATCTCAGCATTCTGTAGGAAATTAGCCGACTTTGTCGTCACCTTCTTCAGGAAGTTTATCACATGATGTGCTTTTTTAACTTCTCCTGCTTCCAAAAAAATACCTAATGTGTCTACAAGTGAAATACTGTGGATATCAGGAATTGATATAAATTTAGATGCTTAAAGGAGGTGACTGTTTTACGTTTTTACTTAAATTTGTGAAGTTATTATATTTCTAATCAAAAAAACATTTAATGGGACAGAGGAATATGTTTTATTTTCTACTTTTTTTTATTTCGAATTATGATTTTCCGTATGAGGAAATAAAATAATTCATAAATAAATATAAATTTATATAAGCTTTCTCCTTTGAAAATTATTACTGCCACCAGTTTCCTCTAGAACTGACACGTGTGAGGTTATTAGTGACATCTATCACATTTGGTCTAGAACAGTGTGGTTCTCAGCGGTTGAGTAGCGAGATGCATTGGATATACGTCAAACTCCGAAATTTTATGAATAAAAATAATTTATATATTTTCAGTCAATATTAATATTGTTAAAAGAATAACAGAAAAACTTTATTTATTTTACAGAGCTTTACATTGTTGTTTATAATAAAAAAGATTAAATTATTAATCAGAAATCTTTGTTCTTTCTGAACAGAAGTTCACTTCATGGTGAAATCCAGCAGAGAAAATTCTTCGTGTCGAATCCTGATCAGTGCATATAATGTAACCCAGTAATTAACGCTTCTTAACTACATCAGTTGATACATCCAATTATTTAATGATAAAATATTCGATCGTCATGTAGCTTTTCATGCAGATGACTCTGGGTATCTGAATACATGTCATAAATCTTCTGGCAAATAGTATCATATGACAGTAGAGCGAAGGATATTTCTTTTTCAGTACCATTGCTTACCATCGATTCCATTAGTTCTTTGCGGAGAGGTGAAATTATTTCTTCAGCTTTAATGTGGGGCTGCATATTTTTGCTACAATTTCCATAACTGTAGAGCTGAACACCTAGGGTTTTTTTCAGAAATAGTTGCTCTCCGTATGCCGTCCCCTTCTCTTGTGATGATTACAATCGACTAAAATTTCTTGTACTTTCTAGACAAATGATTGTGATATTTAACATTCAACTATCTTTTCAGAGTTACTAAAGCCTACTAAACATTTAATGCTTGATTTTCCTTCACAAACAGTACGTTCTGGTACAAGTCAGTTTTGAGATTCACTAAATATAAATCTAGACATTAAGCAATTACACTGTTCCAGGAAAGAAATGTTCCAACAATTTTTACATTTCCCTTCGTACTTCTTGCGTGCACTTGGACGACTTAGTTTTAACCTTATTCTCACTTTTCATTACTCTTAAACTCTGATTCATCCTCGGACGTTTCTCCTTCTAACCAGGAAAGTTTCCAAATAAAAGCTAAATTTTTATGTAAATAAAATTAACACAACACTGTATATGATACTTGTAATAAAACTAATATCAACCTCAAACCATTCCAGAACACGAAGCAAATGGCGTTCTGGCCTGAAAATACCAACAAACACAGGCACACCAGCGGCTGGGCGGTAAAATTGCTTAACACTGGTAGTTCAGTTCGGGGTTCGAATCCCGGCGAACGGGCTGGCTGCATGGACCATGCGTACCCCATGTATACGAGCCAATTTCCCTTAAAAGGTGAAGGCATCCCTCCCCTTGGGCAGGTAACCTTCGAGTGATTCGCCAAAACAAACAATTTATAAACCCACAAACAGCCTTACAAGCCAATAAATGATTGAGTATTGACTATAAACCGAGCGCTCAAGATCCAGTCTTTTGCAGTGTTATCAAAGGACCTAACCTTCTAAAATGTTTTGCTAATAATAAGTTGACTTTTACCCGAAAAATCATAATTTTTTAGTTCTTTGTTTTTATCACTAAAATTGAAAAGAAGTTTTATACTATTCAATGGAAAAAAAAGTCTGCATACGAAATCAGGTGATTTATAGTTTTGGAGAAAATACCTTGGACAGTTCTGTTGTATCCACCTGTATTTTTCAAATTCCGAATGTTTTCTTCGAGATTTCCAAGGTCTATTTTTTGCTGTACAAGAAAAGAGAAAAGGTAACTGTATAACACCGCATTAGAAACACCTGTATTACACCTACAAAAACTAGCTAGATCAATAGAATAACATTTAAGGTCTTATATTTTGTGAAATGAATTATAATGACTAGAATATTTACTCATCAGATAAACAAACATAGAATTAAAGCACTTCAGGTTTATTCTCCCTCACCGCTTGTGAATTATTAAAATATACAAACATAAATTTACCACACAGTATGGACTGGCTTAAAACTCTAAGCTTCCTTTCAAAATGGATATAAATTCAACAATTTGACCATACGCTTGCCCAGATCGCGACAAAAATTCCAACCCACATTTACCAGGACAGGATCTAAACTCAGTCTGCTATACTCTGTTTTAATCGTCAAAGCCAGAATACTTTCAGCAATCATAGACACATAGACTATTCGTGCTATCTGTTTGGCTGGTGAAAGAATTCATTGTACGATGTTTACTAGACTTATAATTTTTGCAGACTGTAAAGTTCTTTCAGAGTAATTTTAAAATTTATTATATTATTTTTCTTTAAAGCATAAAAAATTAGCTATTTATAAATTTATCATAAATAGTCAATATAAATGACAGAAGAAAAGACATGTATAAGAAGACGACATATGAAGTAGTTAAAAATAATAAAAAGGATTTATCCTGAGAACTAATTCATTTCTCCATCTGGTAGCTATTAGCAAAACAGGAACTTGCTTTGACACGGTCATAACCCTGTCTGATGTGGCATAATTATAGCCGAAGGAGCTAAGTTTTTTTTCAATCTGTTAAGACTATTTATTAAAGCTATTTCTTATGAATCTTCTAAAGCATATGATTAAAATAGTATTTGCGAGCTACTCATCCTCGAAAATGAAACGAAAATTTCTTACAATTATATAACAACGATATGACGCTCGTATATTAACCACTTTGCGCAGTAAACTCACTTATGTTTGCAATTTTACTTCTTTACTTCCTTCTGTTTTTAACTCAAAAAGGCTATTAGTCCCGATACGTGATGATTTTCGGTATTTCAGTTTTCATTTGAGTCTGTTGCCATTCGGAAAAACGTAAGAGATTATTTTTTCATATTTAATCTGTTTGTTATTACTTATCAAACTAAGCTATAGGAAAGCATGCTTTTTTACTTTTTAATTTAACTGATTTAAATAAAAAATGCATTTAATTCATTATATATCTAATTAAAAACATTAAATATTTTTAACAGAATTATGTTTCACAGTGTTTTTTCACTTTACAAGAAGATACGTAACGTTTCCATGCTAATCGAAATTGGGGGTTTACAAAGAGGTCACTATAGACCCTATTGGAGTCATTAAATTTTAAAGGTGTCGATTGAGGATTGATAGCCGGCAACTGACTGGCATAATCAAGATTTTATGATTACAAAAAATTATTAATAAAACTGATAATTAATTGTTTATTGATATAAAGCGATTTAATTACGGAAGAAATCATAGGAAATAAATATAAGGGAAAAAATACACAAAACTCATTTAATATATTTTAAAAATAAATGACATTTTTTTCGATTTTTAAAATATGATAAATAACTTTTGTGATTTCTGAATTCTTCCTATCTTTTTTTCTTAATTCTTCCTATCTTTAAGTTAGTACGTTAAATTATTTTTAAGAAATAAAGGCAGTATAAAAAAAATAAAAGTCACGAACGCCCAATCAAAAATATATAGAAGCAGATCCAAGGAGGTTAGAATAGAAGGAGGGAAAATTCAACTCACGCGGTGAAGCTTGGCGGCCATGTTACTGTTATCGCTGTGACTTGTGCAAAGAAGTCTGTAATTGCAACATTTTTTAACACAATTGAACATGTGGAAAGACGTATCCAAGAATTTATATACGTATATTTTCTGTAATTCAGAGCAATTTCTATGAGATTCATAAATATGAAACACGGATAAACTGATATCATTAAATTCACATCAATCTGTTTTATTTTATTAATATTTATTCTTGTTGTTGGTTCTGACAAAGATATATTTAAAACTTTCATTTAAAAAAAATGCAACCAATGACTATTTTTTAGATAATTATTGCTAAATATGTGAATTTCTGTTTTAGTGTATTGCAACTTAAATCTGAAGTATTTAAGCATACTAAAATAAAATAACTTTATTTTCTATCTCTTAAACTATGTATATGAAATAATTCTTTAATAAATTATGATAATATTGTGAATAAATCAGAAATATCCTTATTAAAGGAAAAATTGGAAAAGTACACCCAACAGGTTGCTAATAAAACCTAAACAAATCCTTGAAATATGCAGAAACATCATTTTTAAAGGCTTTAATGTTATACACGTGCATTTAGATTTCGAACTATTTCTTAATAATTTTCTGTTCATAGTAAATTATGGATATCATCTTTATTACTTTAAAACAAAAGTTTAACAATAGCGATGCATTTCATTATAAATTTAACATATTTTTACTGCAAATTACATGCACGGAACAGCTTAGATACATGTACGTTTCACTGCCGTAAGGCAATGTTTTGAAATTACAAACATGGAGGCCGCTTGTTCGGTGGACTTTCATTCCCCGATAGTGGAGGAAACTGCGAACCCTCCCTCCTTCTAGTCTAACCTCCTTGGTTTATTCAACTCCATGCCCACCGTTGAAACTTGTTGACAGAGGTTAAGCTCAGACGGCTATAATGTTGCGAGGCCCCAACTTGTCAGCAACAGTGGTAGTGACTGCTTTGAACTGTAAATTACACAAACTCGTAAGAAGGGTTTAAATCCCTTTTTATTCCACTTTAGAAATTGACACCCGGCGGTTTAACAAAATAGACAAAAATGCAACAAAAAATAAATGACAGGATGAATAAATAATGAGATCACTACCTACGAGGCTCTATAATCTATAATAGTTAGTAAATAACTTAACCGCATTCTAAGATACAGCTGAGATTCAGCAAACTTACTGATTAAGAAGTTGAAAGATTCAACGAACTGCCGAAATAGGCACACAGGCCGAAACGCGCGGTTCTTAAATTTCTACCTGGCAACCTTCACGCTCGCGATTCAAGAAGCACACTCACAATCTCGTTTCCCTTCTAGTTAAACTTAATTACTTCTGCTAAAATTTGAATACTCTGCGCGTTCTACTACAATTTACATACTCTGGCATTGGCAATTCTAGGGAAAAGTAAAGGCTTGACAGGAAAGATAGCTTAAAATAAATGTTAGTTAAAATAAATATAAACTCTACACGGCAATTACGTCATCAATCTGGAAGTGTACCTTTTACATTTGCTAAGAACACTGCAAGCCGTTATTGCCGAACCCCGCCGTAACAAAAGGAATCTTTGCAATGTGTTAACACACCCGTTGTGAAAACTGCTGCTCAAGGAAACTAAAGTACACAGAAAGAAAGTTACTACCGATCACAGAACAGCAATAGATCATGTTCATGGTGTGTTCGTAGCTCTCGACTTTGCTGTGTGAACTTTCACGTTGTTATAAGAACGGTAAGTCAATTTTAATACTTCAGTTTTTAAATTTCGACACTTAAATTTGCGGGTGCTCAGAAATCTCACATGAAAAGAGAAAATGAAGACAATGTTCTGAAGAATATGCCGTCCCCAGAAGCGCAATATAACGTTTATGTCTCACTTTCGAAAATCTTTCACAGCTACGCAATGAAACTGCTAACAATGAAAGATTATTTAATAAGAATGCGTGCAGATAAAAAAGAAAATAATTTGGAGTACATTAAAAACCTCAAAGATCAATTTTTAATACGCTCAAAGAGAGGAATCTTGTCATCTTTGACACCATTGACATCTATAAATTATGAAGGAGGACTCGAAGCTGTATAATAAAATTTCCTATTTAATTGCAAAAGCGGGGTATCCGTAGATAGTTGATAAAAATTAATTATTACCAGTAATTCGAGATGTAGTAATTATAGTTATGAAAATGAATCCGGATCCAGTTTTATAATGTTTCCCCTTAAGTAACATTACAGTTCATCGTCGTATAAACGAAATGGCCGAAACTATTGAACAACAATTGATCTCTGAATTAAGGTTTTATATGTTTGCTATACAGCAAGATGAATCAACATTTTTGAAGGAACAGATATGTGCGTTATTATAGTGATAGAAAAAATAATAGAGGAGTTTTTTGCGCAAAGCTTCTCGAAACATATTACAAGAGAAGAAAAGATATTTCATCCTGTTGAAAACGTTTTCTACCTATATGTCATTCCTCTGTCCATCATTACTGCAGCTTCATATGACGGTGCATCAACGATGGTTGAAAAATAGAGGGTTTTTAGCATATCTAAAAAAACAAGATGCCTAATATTTGGACTGTTGTTCACTGTGTTTTGCGCACGCAACACTCACTTATGAAAACTATTCAGAAACAGCTTCATAGTGTGTCAAAGCATTAATACTATCAAAGCATTCAACTTTGAATGACCATCTTGTTGAGCAATTAAGTGACCACAATGATGGTAATTTATTGCAGCCTTTTATAGGCATTTTTAATACGTGATAGAAGTTTTTCTAAAAGCTGGCAAAATCTGACTTTCTTGAAGGTATGGCGACAAGACTAATAAAATTGTAAAACATATACTATGGATGATATATATGTGTACATATGTTCACTATTCAACGCCATACGAAACAAAGTACTGGAAAGCGATACCAATCTGAAAAAAAGCTGAAATGACGCTCTTCGGTTTTCGTTCAAAAATACTGACTTGTTTATATCGACTCTAAATCCAAAAGAATTCCGTTACATTGATAACTTAATGCAAGTGCTCGTTATTTAAAAGGATTGCATTTCCTCAGAAGATTATAGTACTATGTATAACTTTCAAAATTTAAAAGAAGATTTCAATGCTTCTTTTAGAGAAACTGAAAATTTTAATGGCCCATAAAACGGCTGAATAGTGATAATAAGATTTTGATGTTACGATCAAGAGAAGTTG